GTTCATTCACTAATAGTACATATTATATATGATGTGACCGGAACTGCTAGTCTGCGACGCAGTCAACGTACGGCTGTTTCAACCTCCTTCGGTTTCATTAATAGAACAAGACTACTGCCCCGATGTAGTAGTTGAAGCAGGCACAGATTACGAATTGCGAATCACAGACACAACTGGAACGCTGAATCGCACTAGCACCTGCACGCTGGTATCGCACGTAACCGAGACGCAAGGAAAAGGCTACAGAAGTGGCAGTTCGTTTATTGAAAGAGATTAAGGGGATTACATAACATGTAAAAAGGAAGTTCATTGGTTATACAGGTATCCAGCAATCACCTGCTTGTATTCTTGACGTCAAACAGCTTCTGTCTGGACCGCACGACTTCTGATTGGTCGTTACGATTGACCTGCGATTCGTTGTCCGGAAACTGAAACGCGTAGGCACTTGACTGGCATCACCTGGGGAGGTTGATTCATCATAGTTGTCCACAAACTGTAACGCGTCGCTCCGTAGCTGGCGTTACCTCGTAGGCTAGGATCAGCACACCCGATTACGGATCAAACCCGAGACCACACAGATTAGACAATAGTGTACTTTGATCGCCGAGCAGCAGAGTAGAATGCTTGTTATTTTATGGAGGATTGAACTGTCGATAAGGTGTCCCGGTGTTTAAATTTACATAAACTGCTTTACAGGTGACATAAAATCATTTTTGAAACCAATGTTCTTGTGACGAGTGATTGTAACAGATCAACCTCTTCAAAAATGTGGCGAGAACCCAGGGAGAGGGGCTCATACAAAGGGGAATTAAATTCTTTCCTCCTCCTCTCATTGTTCAGTACACAATACTCTGAATGGTTCGATAAACCAATCACCTTCAGTCTGATAAGCCGCACGTCCCTCAGTCTTACCCCTCCCCGGTCTCCCATTTGCTCAGAGTGACAGATATTGCAAACATTTCTTCTTCTCACTCCTGTTATAATATAGCTGATTTCGTTCCATTCTGTCCAACGACATTAAACAACACACCCTTTATTTGAGTCAAGTAAAGTAATCTTCCTTTCTTCTCATTTGTTATCCTACGGGCATACTGAAAGATGGTTTGATTGAACACAGAATGGGTCACTGCAATGTTCCGTTATGCGATTGAAACTTCCTTCACCGTGCAAACTCCTATTATTCACTTACAAAAGTCTCTAGTTCCGGTTCAACTGTACTGGCCTCCATCCAAAGAACTAGTTACCTAACCATAGCATGACATCTTTATGATGAAATCCCTTTCACGCTCTCGGATTTTCAGTACTTGCTAACGGGTTTGAAACCCCAGTTCATTGTCTTAATCGAAATCCCTCCCTCTCACATTCGCCCACTGCCTCACCCACCCCGGAATTCGTGGCACAGGTTGAATCAGGCTTCAAGTTGTACAGATCTGTTGGACGCCGGAGCAGACCCCACGAGTGTGGACAACGCCGGTCGTACAGCACTTCTGTCCGCCGTGAGCTCTGGTGCTCTGGACGCGATCCATGTGATACTTGCCCATCCTGTTGTCAACTCCAACCCCATGTGTTTCGTGCCCAGTTTCTTGACCGACTCGACTACACCACTAATGCAAGCAATCAAAATGGGTGATGTGGGTAAGTCTTCAATTCCACATCATTTCCGGTCATAAATTGTGTCGTACTCAGGAGCATTACTTATACCCCCACACAACTGCTCACACATGCCGCAGTAGGCCGACCAAGTCATGTATGGCGATTTGTTTGCTTGGTGTTAGTCCCAATCTTTCGGCTTGTGTCCCACGTTTTGAATGACCACTGAAGCCAACTTCCCTAGGTAAACTGCCAGTGGTTCACCGACCAGGATGTTAGCTTTTCGTCTTCTGACCTTGGTGGGGATTCACTTCCGTCAAGCGGTTTGTCAGTACCATTCCATGTGCTTGGTTGGTGGCAACGTTATTTCATCCACAGCGTCTTTAATTAACTTTTCATGCCCTCACTGGGGATAAATAGACAAATACTGGAACTCCATTCCTAACCAACGATTATATTGAGACATACAGGTTCATTATCCACAGCAACAATCAGCACGGCAAAAATTAGTGCATGCAGTTCAAAAGCTTTGCGAAGAAAATTGGAGAGTATACATTCGTGACGTCGTCTAGAACGAAAAACTTAGTTTATCCAGACGAAATTTTTGCAAAATGATTTACAGTTGTCACTGAGATCGTTTAGGTGCCTTACAGTTGTCAAGACTCTGATGTCTTTTTTAAACAATGGTACTATATTCTAGATGGAAAGCTGTAAATCGCCTATGGTCATGATTAAAATGTTGTCCGCATTGGAGTTTTTATAGAATTCTGCTCCAGGTTAGTGCCTTGTATTCAGCTCACAGTTAAATAGCCAGTTCCCCGTTTGGGTCACAAAATATATTGAACGCACAACCTGAAGTCCATATACGCAATGCGAAGGCTACCAGCTGCAGTGACTGTACGGCGACGTGAACAAATCAATTGCCGGTTAGACTACTCTATTTCCTACGGGATTTGAAATCACGGTGTTCATGCACCCGAAGCCTGTCCTCCGATCCGGTTCGCTCATGATTGATCTAATTAGATCATCACATCTTGGCTTCTCTAATCTGCCCGCAGTATGCTCCGCAAACCGTCTGTTTAAACGGTTGATCTACCATGACTACTGCTTCATCCGACCAAACCGGACTTTTTATCAGCCTCAGGTTAATCCGTTTCTGTTATATTCCAAGATTGTAACAGCATTTGCTCACGGAATTGTAGGCTCTTTTATGTTTCAGCAATTTAACTATTTCAGCTCCAGTAAAGCAATGAAGTTAGCTGACAAATCACCGAAAAATAGGCTTGTATGCCACTTAATGCGATTACTTCAAACCCGATCTGTAGTATTGCTTATCGCCTTGATTTTTTTATCAAAATTAACATCAGAATTACACGGATAATAATGGTCTGTCAAGTTTATTTGGTTTACGTGTTTTTTTCTATTCAAGCGTCATTGTCGGTGTGAAATCTAATAACCGTTATTATCTACTATCAAAATAAGAGTAGTCTAAGTCTTTATGCATTAATTTTCCCACCTCTTCATTCCAGATGCATTCCGCATGATCTTGCACGCGATGAACATTCAGATTTGTACGTTAGCAAAAGCACATGCAGCTATCAATACACCAATTCCTAGCACCGGACCAAATGTTTATCCGTCAGTAACTCAGTCTGGTGCACATGCTACCGAACCGCTATCCCCGACAAACCCAACCTGGTCCCTGTCATACGGATGCAATTCAAAAGAGACAACTGCGACACGTGCATTGTCATCTGATCCAACCGTGGCTGTGATCAACGAAGACAATGCGATGAGCTTACTCGACCTAAACATGACAGACAATCTCGGTAGGACCGCATTGCATTGGGCTGCCGTGACTGACCAGCCCGACATGCTCAGTTGTTTACTTGAGGCCGGTGCATCCTTGGATGTACAGACCACGTGCGATGAAACCCCTCTGGCATTGGCAGCCAGGGAAGGCGCATTTAGTGCATGTCGTTTACTTTTGGTTGCTGGAGCCAATCCCGAGCTTGCGGACTATTTGGATCGTACGCCAAAACAACTGGCTCAAGCTGCCGGATACGAAGATATTGTTCGACTGTTCGACGTTCCGGTACATCCGGATTCAGCCGTAGTTTTGAGCTCAGCCGGTAGTCGACAACTGGGGTTTCCCCAGGGTGCATCTATGACATGGTCCCACATGGCATACAACCCACGAACCCGAATGATTATGAGCAATCAGGAGCGGCCTGGAAGAATTTCTAACCAACGAAATCCCATGTTCTTTCCCAACCAATCGGTCATAGAAGAGCCCCAAAAACATGAAGCCAATTTGAATTTGATCGATAAGAATGATCCCTTTCCCTGTGTCTCAAATGATCACTGCGCAATTTGGGAAGATTCAAAAAATTTTCGAGATGAATCGTCCTTTTTTCTAACAGTCAACAATCCATACACTTCGGCGGTCAGTAATGATCTAAGTCCAATGACTTTTTTTGAATTAGATTCAATCCGGCCGCAATCAGCAGTCCAAAACGCGTTTCGATGTGACTCAGTTCCATTGGAATCGTCCCGAGATCAG